TAAAGACTGCATAACCGTGGTAGGTTATGCTGGGAGGAGGAGGAATTGTAAAAGGGGATTGAGCCCAGTACATCGGGAAATCTGTTTTTTCAGAATTTTAGAAAGCAAAGTCTTAGGGATCAAATTGCTGGAGGAGAGGGGTAGTCGATTCAGATACACACCAATGCTTGTTAAGGTGAAAAGTAAAAGTGGTTTTTTCTTCATTCATTCAGGACGCATGCAGTACTGTTTAATTTATTTGCTTTGCAGAACGGCAGATCATAGGTTTCTGGTTTTTTGACGAGGAAGATTGCAAGCGTTTTTACGAGGTGCTTCTCAGACTTGCACCTCAAACAACCACCCATCCTTCCATGGCTGCCACCAATCCAGAAGCACTTGTGAACGGCTATCGCGTCAACACCAACCAGTCAGCCGGTAAACCTCAGTTTAGCATTGGCACGGGCCCAGCAACTAACAAAAATGATCAGAAGAGCAGTATCTTTGATGCCGATTCAGCAGACCGCAAACATTCTCAACCGAGCGTCGCCGCAAGCCCAACAGCTAGCAGAAGTAGTCACTCTTCCACCACCGGTAATGACCCCCCAGTAGCAGCGGCAGCAGCCGAAAAAGCTCGTCAGTATGGCAACAGCTCAACTTCGCCATCCAACAAAAATGCCGAACCCAGCAACGACATCTGTTCAGCAGCTAATAAAGGTGATTTTTGGTTTGTGTGGTGGGCAAACCATCATAAATTTTCTTAATACGTAACACGTTCTGTATTAGACTAAAAACTGCTCGGAACCATACGTGTAAGCAAAATATTGTGCCACCCTCCTTCCCTCCTCCCTCCCCCCAGCCTAGCAGAAGTTTTGGAAGTCGCGTGAAAACCAAGAAGCTCAGGGGCAAGAAATTTTTGAATTGCTTTGCTTCACACTACTAGTATGAAGGTTTTCACAGTATAGCCTGCGCAGTTTTGATGAAATGGATAGATTTTGAAATCCAGTAGAAGTGTTACTCCTTTCTTTTTAATGTACTATTAGCTTATGGCATTTACTTCAAGTGGATAATATTCTCGCTGCCAGAACTAACTGCTCCGTAATTAAAAAGTTGGAGTGGTAAAACGCGAGC